TTGGATTGTTTTCAGTCCCAGACCAGGCAAGATCAGACCAGACCAGACTTCCATAGTTATAAAATACACAAAGACTAGACGTTTACCAGACCAGACCAACAAATTTCAATCCAAAAGAAGAAATCCTTAGAGGCACAACACGGAAATGATGGGAGCAGATCAGTGAGGTTAGGGCATCGTTTATACCAGGGTTAAGACTTAGGAGCCAAAGAAGAGAATAGGCGGTTTAAGCCAATGATAAGATACAAAGATGCATGGAACAGATGAGACATAATTGACAAAAATAAAGCGAGAAATCAAGTTCCTTTAATTAATATAGCAGATATGGTAAAACATAATGTACCACTCTACTAAGCTAGAAAATTGCACTATTTTTTTTCATGCCCAAATGCCTTGATCCTCATTGATTATTGTAAGATTTTATGAATTGTGGGATAGTAGAATGAATCAATACTCATAGCTACCAAAATCAACACAACCAAGCAATGTAAAATGTTCACAATGTTTCACACGATCACTAGTACAAAAAACACTTTTAACATCGGTTTAAAAGGACATTTTACATCGGTTCTCGAAACGATGTGGTTCCAGGCGATGTGGATTGTAATAGTTTTGGCATCAGGTAAGTGACCGGTGTGAAAAGAAGTTTCTACATCGGTTCTTTTGCATAACCGATGTGGAATAGGTAGCAAACGACACTTCTGAACAGCTACAACAACGAGCATAACTGATGTGGGAAAGTTTCTAAATGAGTTATTACATTTAGTAACCGATATAAAAAAGTGCTTTAGTTTTTAGAATTTGGCAGCAGTTTGAATTAAAACTTCATACATAGTACTAGTATTATATTTACTGTTGCTTTTAATAGTCAACAACAATAATGCATTGCAAATCTCAGGTAAACTAAACAATTTCTAAAATACTACACAAGTTTCTAAACTTTATCATTCAAGTAAAAAGAACATTTTCATTGATAAAGTGTATGAGTAAAATATCACTCATATTAAGAAGTAATAACACAACTGCACAATGCACAATGCAACCTATAATACACGACTGCACACAATAAGCCTCAAAGAAGATGGAAATAAACTTGAGGTGCTCCAGCATGTTCTAATAACGACGTGGAGGGGTTGCACCATTGCATATAGCAGTTGCACCAGCATGTTGGCCCGTGGGTCACACCTGTAGATTCTACAAGCTCTAAAAACAATCACAACCCTACAAAATATACCCAAAGCATGAGTAAACCATTTTTCGGACCTCTGTACGATATTTAATAATTGTATAATCTTTTATTATCTTTAAAAATAATGTTTTTGTCCACATATAAACCGAGTCTTCAAAAACCTAGTTTTCAAAATCTAAAACGACATTGCCTTTTAATCTGTTTTATTGAATGAAAATATTGAGTCACAGGAATAAAAGCTATAAACATTATTTATTCACTTTTGCAAATTTTTATCAACCCCAAATCAGCCTTATATCCAAACAAAACTACTTTTACATTTATAAAGAGCTGAAATTTGATGAAGACAAACAAGCCGAATTTAGTCTTAATGCCAAACATCCACTTAACCTGTAATCTATGTTGATGTTAAAGAGAGAGATTATTAGATATAGAAGAGAATTTAGAGAAAGGATGAAAAGTAAACCTGATCTGCTAGATGAAAAGGGGAATTTTCATAGTGAAGCTACAAGCATTGGGAGGACCCTCGCTAGGAACACAAATATTGATAGGAACTTGCTGGCTTCTAGATTTATGAAGAAAAAACGAGAGCAATGACTTCATTCGAGAGGCGACTCTGAAACTCTTAAGAAAAATGAGGAGAGGCTTCTGAATCTGGAGCAGCGACTCTGAAACTATGTAGAAAAATGAGGGAAGGCTTCTGAATCTGAAGCAAAGGATGGATAGATATTAAGTGATAAGTTTTTTGAATCGTTTACTTGGCCACCAAAATTCTAAACTAAGTCAAGTAGTAACAGAATGTAAGACTCACAAATATCAAACATATCCTCAAATTAATATAAAAATTTGGTATGAAAATTAAACCAAATTAAAAAAGAAAGAGATAAGAAAAGTCAGTTTTCAACTATGAATTCTCAAAGTCTTAGCAGATGGCAGAAAATATGTTGACCCACCTCATTTTATGCATTTTATTTGTCTTTAATCTTATAGTTAGAAAGGTGCTGGTATAAGCCCCCTTAAAATACTAAAATTAGAGGTGAACCATTTCATTCAAGCAATCCCTTCCATATTAAAAACAAATGGACAGATACAAAAAATGTTTGAAAAACTACTAATTAACAGACCCAGCAGAACATGGCATGTGACCTATTACGGCAAGATCAAGAAGAGAGACATATCTTTACGATAAGAAGTTGAAGAGTCTTGTTATGATGGTTCATCTTGGCATATCGGATCCACATATAGTCATACCTAGCTAGGGCTTTAAAAACCTGCAAAGCAAATAATCTCCAAAAACTACTATGCATACTAGATCCACTACTTCAACATTACTAGTTAAGGATGACCCGTCACAATATCTAACCTTGACTCGACTCCAAATGTAGAAGTCTGGAAGTTTAGAATATAATTCAAGGTTGTGTTAATGAGGCTTGACACTCTTAGCATTCATTAGAAAAAGAAAAGTTAAAAGTTACCTAGATTTCTTACAGAGTGGTTACCCAGAAGTCCTGAAAATGCAAACTGTTTTGCCATTTTCGTGGAAGATCCTAACCAAGTATCCTTACGAGCAAGCCAATTTGTAACATTATTGCACCACACACCTCCCTCAAACTCCAAATATAGAAGAAACACATACACCATTGAGATACTAAATTTTAAATGTTCCATATCAAAATATTATAGACATGAGTTTGTAAGGATTATTTGGTATTATGACTTCTATACACGTATCATATAATAAGTGAGTACAACCACAAAATGGATTGACTAATTATTAACTCCTGCTCGAATGCTCTGTCCATATGGTAGGCCGGCAGACTTCCATTCCAACAGACTGCATCATTTTAAAATTGAAAAAGAATAAATAATTAGCAATGATAATGGAAAAGAAAAACTAAAGAAATTACAAGTGTAGTTCATCTACTCCATTTGGAACAACACTCTATTCTCAGAACTATAAGCATAAAAATGTCAATCCATTCGCCCATTTTTGCATTCCCACATTTGCCATGCTCCTGCAAATTTATAAACATAATAAGTCTACCAACTGCAAATTTTCCGGTTTTCCATAATCCTGAGATATTGGAAAAACGACAAAACAGATTTTCAACCTAGGGTTTGGAGTACAATAAGTCGTAGGACAAAGGAATAAGAAGGGTAACAAATCCGACAACAGACGTGCAAAAATCCCAGTCCTGCCTAAATCCTGCTCGCGAGCGTCGTCCAACGATGAGGGTATGAATTTGTTGTTTGTACTCGACGCTGGAGACGCAGTTGCGTTAGTCGCGGCAAAAGTATGTCGGAGCTGTAGTCGGATGTTGTTGTTCTGTCTCTGGCTGAATATAGGCTAGGTTTATGGATTGATTTTAACCCCAGCCGATATCACGTAGTCCTATCATCCAGATCGGTTATAATCGATCTCGAATTAGGCACAATTTTTTTATTTTTTTATTTTTTCTGCATCCGTGTTAACATATGTGAACTGAACTTTCGTTAATTCTAAAATTTACCCCGTTTTTATTTTTAACATCGATTCCTAAAATTTTAAAATATACCCTGTTTCGCTATTTAACATGGGTTAAATATACAAATGATGTGAACAAGTTTATATAAATTATAAAAAAGATCTTGTGCCAGTATTTCACATGGGTTTTGGGATAACACATGTAAAATGAGTGATGTAAAAAGTTTTTTTTGTACTAGTGGATGGTCAATAGTAAATGACTAAATCCACACAATAAAATAATGTACTCCGTAATTTATTTTAAGTAATGTATCTATTGACGACATATAATATGAATGAAAAGCTCAAATGAAAGTGTGGCATTGGGATTATGGTGTAACATAATCATGTTTTTAAACTTAATAATAGCCACTATAGAGATTGAAACACAGGTGGTAGTGACTAGGTATTTTGAAAGCGAGTGCTTATACCGTATAACCGGCTGTACGGTGCTCACTATACATCCGATGGAATTTTAGTAATTTAAATGAATGTCGCGTCACCCACTAATGAGGATTAATGCATTTTTAATAAGCATCGAAGTTATTATGTTGAGTATTAGGAGCCTACCATTCTCCCTAATCAGTAACATCCCTTTTGTAAGTAATTATTCAAATATCTGGCTGAACCAAATCACACGGTACAATCGGGTGTACCGTATATTTTGCCTTTGAAAGCATTGGCGCACCAAGTTGAGTTAAGTTCATATACATTTATTAAAAATATGATATTTCTTTTTTGAAATTCTATGAAGTGTTATTTTTATTCCTATTTTGGATAATTTTTTATTGATAATACTTCAAAGATGTTTATTAGAACTATTAATAAAAAATTAAAATTCGAAGTGAAAACACATTTTTTAGAACTTTTCAATTGCACATTCATATTCATGAAAGTAGAAAGATGTGGATCTACATTTTTTTTTCACAAAAAAAAACTTTCTCGTGAAGTAAAACATGAATGAAAGCCCCTACCTACAATTTCAATTCTGTATTGGCATCCCGATTCTTGAGGAGCAGGAAAGAAAAACACGAACTGCTCAGGCACCTTCTTTCCCTGCCCCAAAGAAATATTCTCAGTGTTCTTTAGGGTTATAATAATAATAATTCCTGCGATCTCTTATCACTTCATCCGCAGTCTCCATTAGCGATCCCTCTCAAACTCAATGGAAGAAGAAGCTGTCCATTCGAACTCATCCACGCCGGCTTTGAGTGCGACGCCACTAGGACACTCAGTGATTCCTATTGTTAACAAACTGCAAGACATTTTCGCGCAGCTTGGCAGCCAGTCCACCATTGAGCTGCCTCAGGTGGCCGTCGTAGGCAGCCAAAGCAGCGGCAAATCAAGTGTCCTGGAAGCCCTCGTCGGTCGCGACTTCTTGCCCCGAGGCTCTGACATCTGTACTCGCCGCCCCCTCGTGCTTCAGCTACTTCAGATCAAGCGGAAGCCAGACGGAACTGATGAGGAGTGGGGAGAGTTCCTTCACATCCCTGGAAAGAAGTTCTATGATTTCAACGACATTCGGAGAGAAATTCAGGTGAAGTCTTTAAGAGAGTTTAGTATTCCAAGTAAAATCTTAACCCAAAAATCTAAATGGGCTATATTTCGAAGAGGCCACTTGTATTTACTTGACTAAACTAGAAATCTTCTGGTCAGTTGGTCTATAACTTAAGAGATAATATCTGCACAACTTCGAAAGGCTCTAGGTTATTGCATTGTTTTTAATGTAGTTAATATAAAAATATCTATTGCTTCTTTTTACTGGTTTAAAATTCAAATTAATGTTGTGCTTGGATGGATTAGTCAGAGGGAACAGGGGAAAGAGGGAGATAAGAGTGACAAAGGGAGATCATAAGATGTATTAGAGATGCCAGTACATGTGTATACTTTGTGTTGGGAAAAAGCTCCAATTTTCTTCTTATTTCCTTCCCTTTTGAGATTAAAGGTATTTCATGGAATATGTGATTCTTCCTCCATCATGTTTCCTCCATTTGCAATCCAAAAAAGTAAAATGAAAGAAAATGTGTAAGTCATTTTAGGATGGATCTGGCACAACTGGTGGAGTCTCTCCTTGTGTCATAGCGATTCAGGGTTAAATCTAGAGAAGATTACAAGGAGTATGACTAAAAGTAGAGCTTGTTCCTAAAATTGTGACTAAACTGTTTTGTATTCCTAACTCAATGAGGGTTTGCATGTATGGTACATGTTTTGATGCTGTTTTTCTCCCTTTAATTTCAATTTACTCATATAGAGGCAGATTTATGTTTGTTAGTCATACATTAAGAATCTATGAATGTTTTAGTGACATATAGATAAATTTCCCTCAAATCTAACCAGTTGCATAAAGCCAGCAATTTTCCATATAATATTATGCCATTACCGTACCCCCATCCTGTGTGAACCCCTTCATACCAGATATGTTATACCCCATCCGTCCTGAAAAAGGTTCTCCTTTCCCTTTTAAATTGTCCCAGAATAAGGTTCCTTTTAAACAAAAGAATAGTGTGGTTCATATTATTTATCTCTCCGAACCACACAATTTCACAGTTCTTAGTAAATTGCCATATCAAAGGAGGGACTTTTTTATAGGATGGAGGGATTATATATTATATGCTCTTCTTTTATATCTAAACTATAATAAATTATTACCATATTTTTGTTTGTTCTGTGTGGTGTATATTAGCTCTCGTGACTCTCTAAAAAGATTGGTGTGTACCAATTCCTTTTTATGGACATACTTCTAAAATCCATCTTAGTTTACAGGTAGCAATGTAGCAGTACATATTTATTGAAGTAGTCTTATTTTGTGTGGTGAGAGTTTTAATGTGATGCGCTTGAGTTCTATCATTCCAGTTTTATCATATGATGATTGGCACTTGACAGAAGAATCTACCTTCATTGTTAATTCACTTCGTGACTGTCTCTTCTGATTATAATATTTTAATCTTTTTCCATATTTTATGTGTAATGACTTTAAAAAAATTCTAAGCAGCAAAATGATCCAGTGGTGTCTTCATTTGAGGGTAATTAAATATGCAGACCTTTAACATGTCATAAATGAACAATTATACGTGAATGGACTTGGTTGATACTTGATAGTACCCATAAGCAGTTCATAAGTTGTGTTGTAATGTGAGTTGTAAAAGAGCTGATGATGTGAAAATGACTTCTGCAACCTCTTAAGAGGATGACATTTATAGACAATCCCTCCATTTTTATTTGACACACTTGCTAAGAAAGTGAAATTTGCATGGCTATGGTTGATGTAAAAGTGAGAGAAACAATACCAAACACTCAAATCTTTGGAAATGGGAAGCTTTTTTTGGGACATCCCAAAAAAGAAATGTGAAGATAATTATGGGTGGATGGAGTATTTACTTTCTGTCCATGCTTTGTTCTAATAGTTTCTATGTGCTACTAAGTTCATCTCAGTTTACATTTTTCTTGTCTGGCTTCAGGCAGAGACAGACAGAGAGGCTGGAACAAACAAAGGGGTTTCAGACAGACAGATTCGGTTGAAAATATTCTCTCCAAATGTTCTTGATATTACACTAGTTGATTTGCCGGGCATAACAAAGGTACCTGTTGGAGATCAGCCTTCTGACATTGAAGCCCGAATCAGGACAATGATAATGTCATATATTAAACGTCCAAGCTGCCTAATACTGGCTGTCACACCAGCTAATGCTGACTTAGCTAACTCAGATGCCCTCCAGATTGCTGGAAATGCTGACCCTGATGGTACAGAGTCAATTTGGTTTTACTAATCTTTATATTTAAATTTTGCTGCACATAAATCTGTTTGCAAAATATCTTAATGGTTATAATATTTTATTGGCTTTTTCTGACAGGTAATCGAACCATTGGCATAATCACAAAGGTGCTATACACTGAAATGGAAATTTAACATGTGATTTAAAGTCTGTGCACATCTAATTTTCTGTGCATCACTCTTATATTTTCTTTGTTGCTTCAGTTAGACATTATGGATAGGGGCACAGATGCTCGCAATTTTTTACTTGGAAAAGTGATTCCACTTCGACTTGGTTACATTGGGGTTGTGAATCGTAGCCAGGAGGTAAATTTTCACATTAACATTTTGGCAGTTCTACACTTTATGTAGAATATGCAGTGTGCAAATAATTTTGTGAATTATATTGATGCTTAATGCAAATCTTTCAATTATGTATATTTAGTTCCAAGCATAATCCATGTAGTAAAAGGGTGGTATATGGGAAGCCTTTTTTACGGTGAATCAATTTCACAAAAATCTGTACGTCATTTTTGGTTGGCTGTGTGCATCTCATCCAGACTGTATTGGTTATGTGTATCAGGATATTCTGATGAATCGGAGCATCAGTGATGCACTTATTGCTGAGGAGAAGTTCTTTCGCAGTCGTCCTGTATGGCAGTAGATAGTTGCTTTGTGACTCATTATTTGATCCTCTGTAATGAGCCTCTCTCACTCCTTGTTAATGTCTTGAATGAAGGTTTATAGTGATCTTGCTGATCGTTGTGGTGTTCCTCAGTTGGCAAGAAAGCTGAACCAGGTGAATGGTCTAGGACAAAATTATCAATATGTTTACGCGCATATCAGTATATTACGTTATCTAAAAGACACTGTTCAACCATTAATTTCGTTTCATATTTATGAAATGTGAATCCACCTAGAATTCTAAAGAGACGCATTAATAATCTACTTTTTTGTCATTTTGTTGCTATTTTTTTATATTGTGAAATGTAACATTCTTTAGGGTGTTCTCTTGTATGTGTCCCTATAGGAACATAATTCAAGTCATCTTTTACCCTTTCCTTTTTCAGATTCTGGTGCAACATATCAAAACACTTCTTCCAGGGTTGAAGTCTCGCATTAGTGCTGCACTTGTTACTGCCGCGAAGGAGCATGCTAGCTTTGGGGATATTACTGAGTCTAAGGTAGATGTAGTGTGGTGTTGTGTAACTTAATCATGCACTATTCATGCTGGCTTTGGGGAGGTCATTCAGTTGAAGGAAATATTTCTCTTAGCCTTTGTAACTTAATTATGCACTCCTTATTTTTTATTCTGGGTTTCGTTAGCTGACTTTCCCATACTCAAGTTTCTTATATTCTATTTTTTAACTTATTTGTTTCTATGCCCTAACTGGTTCTTGCTATTTATTATTTGTTTCTTATGCCTACAAATATAGGCTGGTCAAAGCGCGCTGTTTCTGAACATTCTTTCAAAGTATTCTGAAGGTATTTTGTCTTGTAGAAAATAAATTTAATAAGGGCTGATCTTTTTGCCAAACTTTCAAATCTCCAATATGAATGCAACATCACCCTGTGTTTTCTCACTATGATAGCTCATTTCCAAATTTGTTTGGGCAGCTTTCTCTTCATTGATTGAAGGGAGAAATGAAGAGATGTCAACATCTGAGCTCTCTGGTGGTGCAAGGATTCATTACATCTTTCAAAATATCTATGTGAAAAGTATTGAGGTATCTGCAGTTTTAGTTATGAGAAACACCTGCCCAACTGTTTAGATTTTCAATGCTGTACCCTCGGAGCACTTACAACTCTTGTAATGCCATATCCACCACATCTACTTGACTTCACTTCTTTCAACTGAAAATGAAAATAAAAAAAGAGAGGGTTGGAAATTATAAGAAGGCTGACATTCTGGCAATGTTTGATCTGTTTACAGACTTTTATTTTTGTAAAAAGTGAGGATTCCATAATTTCTCAGTCCGACCTGATTTTCAAATCCATTATGGCGTGCTTTGCAGGACGTTGACCCCTGTGAAGATTTAACTGATGAAGATATTCGAACTGCCATCCAAAATGCAACTGGCCCTAAATCAGCATTGTTTGTACCCGAAGTAATGTTACTAGTCCATTTGCCAAGAATAACACATTCTTTTTTAACCCTTCAAAAAAACACATTCTTTTTTAAGAGTGACATCTTTTTTGTTGTCTTGATCTTTGTTATTTTTACTTCATGCGGCATTGGGTTTATGCTAAACTTTTGATGCGAAGGTGCCATTTGAAGTTCTTGTGAGAAGGCAAATATCACGATTGCTGGATCCAAGCCTTCAATGTGTGAGATTTATTTATGATGAGCTAATAAAGGTAATTTAGGTAATTTTTACTCTACTATTTGCTGAGGATTCGAATTCTAAGTATTTGAGCTTATGCCAAGTTATCCTGCAGATGAGCCACCACTGTATGGCGAATGAACTGCAACGGTTCCCAGTTTTAAGAAGGCGCATGGATGAGGTCACAGGAAACTTTTTACGAGAAGGTTTGGTTCCATCAGAAAATATGATTGGGCACATCATTGGAATGGAGGTATGTCTGATTTTTGTTCCTTTGACACAGACAATTTTATGCCATGGAAGACTGGCATGATCTAATAAGTAGTAACTAGGTTCTCACTTTATTTGTTTGGCTTCCAGATAGGCCTGTGGGATTATTAAATCCAAAATGGTCTAGATACCCGCGATAGTATATTAAAAAAGTTCTCACTTAAATAATTGGAGAAGTGGATGCAGACACAGGTGGAGAGTTACACACTTCTTCTCCAAACCTTTAGATGTAGTATAACTTTTCCATGAATAACGCAGGATTGTTTTCCGATTCTAGAATGTAATCTTATTTGCTTCTATTAGAGGGTAATTTCACTAATTTGATTAGAAAAGCTCCATGTATATGGGGTTCTTTTGTAAGATTTACCACTTAATTCTTGGCAGTTTGTACTCAGCAGCACATCATAAATCTCACAAATAACTGTATCATAGATCTCGCATAGTCTCCTATGAAATTGAACCCAGCTCATTTTTTCCTGAAGAGTTGTTTTTCCTGGATTTTCATTCTTTGTTCCAACAGTATATATCTAGACTGCAGTTCATGTTCATCAGCATGCATAGCTCACCTTGGTGTTTTTTTAGATGGATTACATAAATACCTCCCATCACAATTTTATTGGTGGGAACAAAGCTGTGGAGATGGCAATGCAGCAGATTAAGACTCCCAGGATTTCTCCTCCTGTTCAAAGGCAGAAAGTAAGTTTATGCCTTTTACTTGAGTTTTAGCTTGCTTGATCTTCTAAATCGAGTTGCATATTTTATTGCTTGTCAGGACGGATTGGATGCAGATAAAGCACCAGCATCTGAAAGAAGTCTAAAGTCTCGGGCTATTCTGGCTAGGCCTGTGAATGGAATTGTGCCAGATCAGGCAGGTTTTTAACCATTCCATATCAGTGTTTCACTGTTTCCCTTCCGGATTAGGAGACTTGGTTGAGAATAAAGTTGGTCTGCCCACATTAGATTTAAATTAGTATCAGAGTATCAGTCATTAAAAATTATGATCCCGTTTGGTGTATCTGTCAACTTTATCACCAAACACACAACTTTTGATTTCACGATTGAATTGTGTAATAATCAAAATAAGTAAGGTTGGAGTTACTTTTCTGGTTGAAATAGCTGAAGTTACCATAGAAGATCATTATAATTATATTTTCATATAATTTCTTCTTTATTTTATTAATTAAGTATATTTTAATTATTACATATTATAATCAATATTTCACATTTCCGCAGATTCAGCCAATTCAGCCGCTTCAGTCAGAGCTTCATCAATTTAAGTAGAATCGATTCAGTGTTACCAAATAGGCTCTATATATTTAGAAAGTAGAATCTGCACCAAAAGTTTTATTGAACCGCAAAGAAACAAATTCTGAGATAATATATTGTTATAAATAAGATTATATATTAAATGAGAATCGGTCAATTGGTTGACTCTATGACAATAATAAGGGGATAATTGCCCATTTATGCTAATGCTAATACCAATACTAATATACTAATACTAATAAGAAGAAGAAGAACAACACAACAGCAAATAATAATAATAATAATAATAATAATAATAATATACACACACGTTTTACGCAGTGATCAGATGGGTAGGTTGGAGGGGTGTTAAATATCCTATTAATTAGTATTATATTTTGTGCATTACAATATAGACCAACATTCACTCTCCAAACCAAAATCCTGATTCTGCAACTGCTTTGTTTCGTCAATATTTCATGTAAACTTTCCAAGATAAGCTATGAATTTATGTTATATAATTTAACTCACTGACTGTGCTTATTTGCTTATAAACAGGTTCGGACTGTCCCAGAAGTTGAAAAACCCACACCTGGTAAAACTTTTTCTTGAAATAATGCTCTGACATCATATTATAGGACATTATCTTTCCAAGTACTTTTTTGCACTAGCTGAGAAGTAAGTGTTGCTACAAATGATGATATCGGCATTGGTGTTATCTACTAGGTTGTTAGGTTTTGGTTTCAAAGGCCTCAAGCCCTCAAATAACATATTTTTTAATCAGGAGCTACTTCAAGTTGGGGAATATCATCAATATTTGGTGGGTCTGATCATCATCGCACATCTGTGAAAGAAAGTTCAACGAGCAAGCCTTTTAATGATCCTGTCCAGAGCATGGAACATGCCTATTCGATGATTCATTTGAGAGAGGTGAATACACCAAGAATCTACCAATACGGCTCTCCACTCTTGTTCAGCTTTTGTTTACTTATCTAGTTATTCTACTTGAAGCCACCCAATGTCTTGAGGCCCTCAGAAACCCACACAGATCAGGAGTCCATCGAAATAACTGTCACAAAACTGTTGCTGAGATCATATTATGACATTGTCAGAAAGAATATTGAGGATTATGTACCTAAAGCGATAATGCACTTCCTGGTAATAATACCATTTTTTTTGTATCTGAGGTTCTAGATATGGTTGCAATCTATTTTCTTGTGCAACTTTCATAATATTTTTGAGTATGTCTTTTTATTTTGGGAAAATAACTTTAAATAATACCAACTATCACCCATAAATCAATAAAAATACATACTTAAAAATGATTTTTAATTATACCAACTACTTGAATATAAAACAATAATAATATGGAGTCACTTTTCATCAAGAAATCCAGTCATTTAAGACATTACAAACTAATAGCAAACTATCAAATAAATGATATTCGTAAATACAATCACTTATTTGATATTTTGATACTAGTTTTTGATGAATTAAATAACTGATTTTTCATTGAAAAATTGCTCTATATCACTTTTGATCTATATTTAGATAGTTGGTATTATTAAAAGTAATTTCCAAAATATGTATTATTCTTGGTTCATGGAAGATAGTTTGTATTATTTAAAGTTATTTTCCGGTTTTCCCTTTTAATTTCCATAATTGACAAGGGAAGACTTGCTCCTTATACACCCTTGTGGTGGGACCCCTCCTCGGACCCCTCCTCGGACCCTTGCTTTGAGGGGACACCAATATGCACCAGGCTGCGCTTTTTATTAACATGTCCATAAATCGTGAACCCTACTAATCTTCCTAAAATTAATTTATTCCTTTAATTAATGTAGCACATGTACTATAACTTGTCTATTTTTTTGGCAAGCTACACAAGTAATTTGAATTGATAGAGCAACTCTTTTTTTAGACCCAGAAAGTGTTTGAATCATGCATGACTTGTGTTTAAATGGAGCGAGATATTTATATCTAGTCCACTCAATGCTTCTTCAGTTTCAAAGAAAAGTGTGTATTTCCAATCAAAATTTGATCGAGCCTTTTCATAAGATACTCTGTTTAAGTTAGACAGCACTTCTCCACTAACCATCTATGTTTTTTCCAGTTTCCTAAATGTGTATTGCAAAGTTTCACTTTCTGGATTTAATGTCTTTGGTTGATTATTTTACCAGGTAAACCACACCAAACGGGAGTTGCACAATGTTCTCATAAAAAAGCTTTACAGGTATTATTATTATTAATAATATGATAGATGTGTACCTTGGTTAAGACTTATCTGCCTCCCCCACTGGCTTTGAATAGAGAGAACCTCATCGAAGAGATGCTGCAAGAACCTGATGAGATAGCCACGAAAAGGAAGCGTACAAGAGAAACACTTCGTCTATATCAGCAAGCTTTCAAGGCCAGTTTTTCTATTCATTAATCAACATCATCATCATCATTACCCGTGCCGCAAAGGCTCCCATGCCTTCGGTGGGGTAGGGGGGGTCGGATGTACGCAGTCTTACCTCTGTATTAAAGCAAAGAGAGACTGTTTCCGGATGACCCATAGTGAAAATCGCGTCGAAATTGCATGGACAGACAGTTTAGTAAGCCATTTTGCTTTATTCCATCATATTCCCAAGCCAAAAATAGTGAGTCTTTGGCTCCATTGAAAATGATGAAAATTATTCATTAATCAACATATATTCAAAAATGCAAAAAGGATATATTCTAAGAAGATCTGGTTGTACTTTGAAATTTACTTATTTGAAAGACTAGGGGTGTTAATGAATCAAGTCGAACCCAAAGATATTGAGCTCAACTCAATTCAGTAATAGTGATATTCGGGTTCGATGCTAGAAGCTTGATGAGCTTTATGCATTAGGTTCATTAACTATGGTCTCAGATTTCGGATTAATAGGTGTTCGATACTCATTAATTGTCTCGTGCACAAATTATTAGATGAGTACTAGATTTGTTAATAATCAAATTTAAATTTAGAAAACTATACTAAAGAGCTTTAAAATGTAACATATAATGTAATTTGTCCCTTTAATTCATGGATACCTGATAGGCTCGAGATCGAACCAAACTGAACACTACTATGCTCGAGCTCGCTCGAAGAAATATTCAAACTTGACACTCAATTGTATTCAAGTTCAAAGCTCGTTAAGCTCCTCAGTGTATTAGGTTCGAAATTGAGCATGAAAAGTTCGAACAATGCTCTGTTCATTAACAGCCAAGCCTGCTTCCTGTTTGTTTGCATGCAGACACTGGATGAATTGCCACTTGAAGCAGATTCAGTGGAAAGAGGGTATAGTGTCAACTCAGACTCAACAGGGTTGCCAAAGATCCATGGGCTACCCACATCCTCAGTGTATACTACCAGTTATGGTTCCTCTTCCGATTCCTGCGGTGCTTCCCCAAAGAATCCAAGAGGGTCTCGTAAATCTTCCCATTCCGGGGAGCTCCAGCCACAAACTGGTGGAGACTCCAATGGCAGTGGACGCAATTCTGTTTTTGGTCTTTATCCAACAATCGATGCTTGAGGGGATGGATATTTCTTCCCTCCAGCATATTATGGCTGCGAAGCTAGCGGGAATTGAAGCGTTGGACGATTCATGGAAGGCTACTTTTATTCATTTCAATCGAAATATGTATGATATGATAACCCAGCAACCCGCGACAAGCTATTAGTTTTGTTCACTATATATAGTTTCATACATATGCATTTATTGGTTTAGAAACTCATAGATGAAATAATTGAAGGCGGAGATGTGCAATCATTTTGGGTTTATCTGTGTTTTTGTAAAAGTTTATTTAATCTATAAACTAATTTTGTAATACAATCTTTAGACAATCTAGTTCAATCCTCCAATCCCCATCAAAGGAAATTAATGAGATCCACGTATACAACTTAAAGGAGGTATATCTGGGTTGTTTTTACTACATACATGATACATGGATTTAATTGAAAGCACAAGTTATTGAATTAGTAAAAAATTATTTTAATCATTGAACATTAATGTAGTAGTCCTTTTTATTAAGATGTTTTAACTTAATTTTTTTTTTTTCAAATCAGTTATGAAATAGATGTATATTAATGATAATAATGTTTGTTAAGAATATAACACAATAATAATATTAAATCGATCATTCATTTCAGTTTGTTTATTCAATCAAAAAATGAAGAAATTACAAAAATTACTTAATTCAGAAATTAACGCAAATAGACATTTTAATTGAGATGGAGTTTAATAGGAAAAAAATACCTAATTAAGCTTATATTTGTCCTATTAAGTAATGGGGAACGTAGTATTGGAGAGTTTGGAAGAACGATTGAGATTGAAGTTTATTGATTTAGAGATTATTGTTTGAAGATGAGTATTTTTTGCTTGAATAATGGGATGGCTTATAGAAATTAAAGGATTAAACTGAAAGACTACGGGTGTGTTTGACATTTAGCATTTATTGGTTAGCGGATAATGAATTATGTTAGCGGGTTGCCGGGTTGTCAATAGTGGATTCAGTCAACGATTTTGATTAAGGGTGGACTCGGGTCGGGTAAACTGGACCGAAACCGGACCGGCCTGCTACAGTAACGAACTGGTCCGGCCCGCCCGGTCGGGTCCGGGCCGGGTGCTATATATCCGAATCACCCATTTTCGGGACGGGCTCCGTGTCCCCAGAAAACGAACCGGCCCAGCCGTTCCGGACTTGGTACATGCCATTTTTTTGTTTTTAGGTTGGCATCCTCCTAAAATCCTACTCTTATTTTAGAATCAACAATTCTTGATGTACACGTTTGATTATGAATTAATTACATACGATAGTATTTGTGACTAAAATGAAGATTATTTAGGATGTTTTTACTTGGACTGTAATTTGCTGGTCTGGTCTGGTCTGATCTGGTCTGAAATTTTATTTTATATTTTTTGCATAAAGATTTTATTTTTTATACGTAGTATATATTATAATCCATAAATAATTATATTTTATTCATTTATAATTACAAATAACAATAACAATAACAATAATAATAACAATAATAATAAATAATAATAATAATAATAATAATAATAATAATAATTAGGGGTGTGCACTATCCGGTTTAAACCACAAAACCGAACCGAACCGGACCGGAAAAACTGGAACCAGATCGGACCGGAATGATATTCGGTCCGGTCCGGTCCAGTCCGATGCACACCCCTAATAATAATAATAATAATAATAATAATAATAATAATAATAATAATAATAATAATAATAATAATAATAATTAGGGGTGTGCACTAGCCGGTTTAAACCGGAAAACCGGACCGAAGCGGACCGGAAAAACCGGAACCGGATCAAACCGGAATGATATCCAGTCCGGTTCGGTACGGTTCGGTCCGATTTTGAACCGGTGCACACCCCTAATAATAATAATAATAATAATAATAATAATAATAATAATACTAATAATAATAATAATAATAATACTAATAATAATAATAATAATACTAATAATAATAATAATAATAATAATAATAATAATAATAATAATAATAATAATAATAATAAAATATGGTATGGTCTGGTCTGGTTTAGTCTGGTCTGGTCTGGTCTGGTCTGGGAGGAATTACAGTCCAAGTAAAAACAACCTTACAAAAATGTGATTAATGACTCAAGTAATAATGAAATCATAGTAACTTATGTTCATTTTTTAAACTTAAATTACTATAACACCACATTTAGTAACTATTAGTCATATCTATGCAAATAAATTTTACTTTAATACTGCCTCCGTCTCGGAATTATCTTCATACTTTCTTTTTCGATTTGTCCCAAATTTATCTCCCCTTTCCTTTTTTAACAAAGAATTTGTGATTCATAACCATACTTACACATTCTTATACATTTTTCGTTCCTCTGCACAACTCTACACCACACATTTCTCACTATCTTAATCCGTGTGCCATTTGTACTTCAGGAGATAAATATGAGAGGGAGAGAGTAATATTTTTAACCGGTGGGCGTAGCTCAACTGGTAGGAAGGGAGTGCCACAAGGGTTAGGTCCCGGGTTCGAATCCCGGCAACTGCGATGAGGGGTTACTATGCTAAAAAATGCATAGGACCTCTGCAAGTATCGGGGACAGAGCCTCACTCTCTATCTGTCAGATTGGGATTATAGTCCAACTTACATCCTCCCAACGGACTGTCCGGTCGGGTTGGGGGGCCCTCAGGGATGGGGTATCATCCTTTTTTTGAGAGAGTAATATTTTTATAAAAAGTCCTTTGATTATTTACACTTTTACGCATTATTCACGAGTGCCTATACCGTACGACCGGTATACGGTGAGCACCGTATACCGGTATACGGATATATTTTTTTTTCCTTTTGTTTTTAAAAAATGGCAATAACTTTTTTATTTTTGATCTGATTTTTATAAAATTTATATCAACATTTTTTACCGTACGACCGGTAATAAAAAATGTTGATATAAATTTTATCATCATTTTTAATTAACAACACACAAGAGCAAAAAAAAGAGTGAAGTTGCGTTTTTTACCATCCCTGCGCCGGTTGCACGTATAATTTGCCATTATCCACAAACAAAAAAGTGTATACACCAGGGTTCTAATATAGAGTAGGAATTCGGAGGATGCCAACCTAAATTGGTGTGAAGGACTAAAACCCAATCAACCATAATTCAGCAGTTTCATCCGGATAATCAGATTTGTGTTGAAATATCAGTAGTGGTGGAGCCAAAACGGGGAGGATCGCAGAGAGCTTTATAGTTTGGAGATGGGAGACGAAAGGGTGAAGAGTGAGGCGATGCAGGTGCTGGGAATGTTCCAAGGTTTGCCTCGTTTGGTCGTCTTTGATCTTGATTACACTCTCTGGCCCTTCTACTGGTATATACTCCACCAATTTTGCCTTCGTTTTAATAATATTTTGTTTATCTCGACTGCAATTTGTATACTGTACTCTTCCTGTTAATAAAGACCCACTGTAATTTCTTGTTTTCCACTGTAGTTTTATCTTTTTCTGAACAAAAAGACTGGAGCTTTTATATGTGCGGAAGATCTCAGCTTTCAAGTTATTTAGATGACATGATATGCAATACTATATCAGTTTACGTTAATTTTTCTTCCTTTTATACTTTATTTTGTATATTTAGCATGAAATAGTAGACGCCCTACCTAAATTTTGTTCAAGCCTCACTCTGTTTAGGATGATTTTAAAAAGAGAATGTATGATTGAATAAATTATACCCAGTATAAAATAATATCCAGATGATTACTCTGTATTATATGATTAGTGTCTTACACAATATGGTCATTGATTTCTGCATTATGCCCAAAACAATTAATCAGAGTGAGGTTTGAGTTTTAATCTGATCTTGCTTTTCAGTGAGTGTCGCTCCAAACGTGAAATGCCTACTATGTATCCTCAAGCAAAAGGCATTTTAAATGCTCTGAAGGAGAAAAGAGTTGATATTGCTATTGCTTCAAGATCACCCACTCCAGACATAGCCAACACTTTCCTGGAAAAGCTCCAAATCAAGTCAATGTTTGTTGCACAGGTGAGATTTAGCAGTTTTTTTTGGATCATCATCTCCTTAATCTTGGCTTGATTTTTTAATTGAAACGATATCAGTGACCATAAGTCATAACGTGTGTGTGTCTTATGATTTTTAATGATCGGTTTTATTTAAAGATCTTGTAATATTTCCAGGAAGTGTTCTCCAGTTGGTCCCACAAGACAGAACATTTTCAAAAAATCCACCAAATAACAGGGGTGCCTTATAATGAAATGCTGTTTTTTGATGATGAAGATAGGAACATAGAGGCTGTAAGTAACTAACAATACTTTTTTGCTATCCCGTCAATTGATCAATACTTTTTTTTATTTTCATTACTTCGTTTGTTTGTTTGTACTTATGGTGTATGTTTCTAGGTTTCTAAAATGGGTGTAACAAGCATATTGGTGAACAATGGTGTGAACATTGTGGCTTTGAAGGAAGGACTTACATGTTTCAAGCAGAATTTTGCGTCATTGGAAAAGAACAAAGAAAGATGGGCTAAGTTCACTAAGAAGCCAAGTTCATCACAAATAGATGAGCAACAATGAAGTTTAGCTTGCACCACAGTGATTTGCAGTAATTTGGAGCTTAGTTTTGCTTTAGGAAAATGGCTTCATCCTTTATACCGTTCATTTTGTTAACCTATAAATTTTCGGGTGTGTATTCATACATTTTTAATCATGTAACTGTCGACTAAAATAAATGTTATTCATTTGAAATGATTGACAAGAATGACTTGGCAATGTTAGTAAATAAAACATAATAATGGAAAGTATATAAAGATGAGGATAACATGTCATTTTTTATACTATCAAGTTCAGCGAAAAAATACCTTCTATAGTACTTTCCTTGTTTTATTTCTTATTAAAAAAAGTACACAAAATAGGATTAAAACATTGGCAATGTCTTAAAATAGGACTACATATGTTTTCTTCTCAATATATAACTAGTTTAATTAAAAGAATAAGATAATAAAAATTTCTCTAAATAAGAGTGCATATTATTTAAATAGGAAATAGTGTTACTTCTGTTTAGGGGTGGACTCGGGTCCGGGCCGGGTCCGGGTTGGGCCTAGGCCCGGGCGGGCCGGCGGTTCAGGAGTGGTGGACCCGGGACCGGCCCGGGTAACCACCGGCCCGGGACCGGCCCGGGTAACCACCGGGTCCGGTCCGGGTCCGGGCAGGGCCGGGCCCATTATCAATTTTTTTCCCCTCTTCCTAATTAACCCCCCAAACCACCCCAAATGGCCCAAAATACCCAGCCCAACTTGAAAATTTTAAAAAAATTGAAAAAAAAAAGTTTTGGCACGAACCGGGCCTGGGCTCGGCCGGGTCGGGCCTTGTTTTGGGTGACCCAAACCCGGACCGGAAAACCCACGGGTCGGGCCTACCCGGACCGGTCACTGACCGGGCCACCGGGTCGGGCCGGGCCGGAACAGTGCCGATCCCGGGTTGGTTCCGGGTCGGGCCACCCGGGTCGGTTCCGGGTCGGGCCACCCGGCCCGAGTCCATCCATACTTCTGTTTGAGAAAATCATTATGTTCTGCTCTTATTTCAGGATTTTTTTTTCTGCCTAGGGACATTCGGCATGCGAAAGACATACGGAGTATATTTCAATCTTGGGAAGGAAAGCAATCGGAAAATCAATAATACCCGGTATAAAATAATGAAGGAAAAATTCCCGAAATAGGACTAAAATGTTTTGGAATCATAAAATTTACAAATATATCTTATTCTTTAAATTTTATAAATAAAAAATTCAAACTTCAACCTTTGTCCCAATTATACTTTCAATGGATTAATTAGTAATATTTAATAAGAAAATCTTAATACTCTTTCATACAGAGTATTTCGTTGTATCTTTCTAGTTTTGAGTTGATAAACTTGTATTGCTTTTTTTTTACTTGTGGTGAATCTAGTATTACGTACTAAAAGCAACTACATAGAAGGTACAAAGAAATAAAATTTTCTGCAAGTAGTATAAGCAATATAATTAGGAGGTGAAACTATTACATACAACTATGCGAGTAGTATACAACTACATAGAAGAGTTCAAAATTCTTTGGTTACAATTTGTTTATTAAACAATAACTATTACCCCGTAGTATTTAAATTGCTTTAGCAACTACTGTAAAAAACATTAACTTATCAGCTAATTCATTTATTGATTGATTATAGTATCATTTATTATTAAATTTTGAGATTTTGTTAGAAAGTTTTCAGTTATAGATTAGGATGTAATATTCCAAGCGGATGTATACCACTCCTCAGAGTGGTATACCATGTTTGTGTGAGCCTGCAAGTTTTTTGTTTGTTTCAGGAATAGGAGTTAGATGTGAAATCTCAATCCCATAACAAATGGATGATGTCTGCTTATGTATAAGTCGGTAATTGAGAGTAAAATAGAAAAAAGAAAGGGTACTCTATCTAACATTTCCAATATTCCATATATAGAAAGCAAAAGCTTTGTAAGGACTAAGGATTATAGAAGAACTTGACACAAAATTCAAAACACTCCTTTAAGAAAACTCTTTGATAAATTTATCATAAACATGGCAAGAACATGTTCATAGCACAATAATAGAATGACAGGACATATGAGGAGCTACCGAAGTTCTGAAAGAAAGCTTTAGTTCACTGTAAAAACATTCTCACTGTGAAAAAGGAAGCACACTAATGGTTCAGTTCCTTCAAAGGAATTCTTTCATCAATGCGCTCTTCAAACCCTCTCTGCATGGGTAAGAACATTTTTTTAACCTTCCTGCTAGTATGATCAATATCAACCTCATCTTCATCTTTAGAATGCTTTAACATTTTCCCCAGAATTTCAGTAAGTTCAACATCTTCCAAAGACTCGCCAAGCTTTGTGCAAATTCCATTCATCTGAACTATAAACCCTTCCCGTTCATGTAACAGTTTCTTTATATCATGGAGCAAAGCATTTTTCTGGGACTCAAGCTCCTGGTTTCTACCCTCCAGTTTCTTCCGCTCCCTACCAAATTGACTTTTCAGTCTTTGCAATTCCCCTTCCAATTCATCAATGACCTTGTTTTTCGACTTAATCTCAACAGCTTTTGAACTCTCGGCCTTCTGCAAGGCTTGATAAAGCAAGTTATCTTTTTCTGTGATGGCAGTTTCAGCAATTGCTAACTTTTCTCCTAAATGTTTTGCCTCCTCCGTGAGATTATGTATTTTCTTATCCTTCTCTTCCAGAATCATCAGAAGCTTCTGCTTCTCTATCTCTAAAGTCAGAAGAGCGTCTGATTTTGCATTCTCATTTTTCAGTTTGGACAATTCCTGCCTTAACAGATTGTTTTCTTTCAGTAACGTTTCCACATCCGCTGCTCTTGACTCCAGTTCTGATATCTTCTGTTGCATATCACTTAACTTGGAATCTTGTTCTTTTATAATGCCAAAAACCCTATCACTCTCCATATTATTAGCTGGTTGGCTCTTTTTCAGGTCTGTTTTCATAAAACCTGCGCTAGACTCCCACTTCTCTGCTTCAAGTTCAATATCCCTAAGTTCAGTTGTTCTTTTGGCCAAATGAACGTTATGTTTCACTAGAGCTTCAGAAACACCTTTGCTTTCTTGGAGAGCAGCTTCCTGTGATTCTTCCATTGCCTCTATAAACCTTTGAATTTCTGCAGTGGGGGTAATTATTTCTTCGCATTTCTCTTCCAGATCAGCATAAACTTTTGGATTTTCCCTTGATTCCAACTGCTCATTGAGAAAAAGTTGATTGTCCTGCTCCTTGTTCTGGGGCTCTAATTCAGTGGAGATATGCTTGCCAGTGCCTACATGATGAAATTCTGACTTCAAGACAAGGAGTAATATGGAAACATATTCATTTTGAACATACATTGAGCAATGGCAGCCCTCTAGGTCCTTCTCCAACATCTCAATTTCTTTGCTTTTAACCTTCAAATCAGACGCACATTCTTTCATAGCTTGAGTCAGTTTCTCAATGTCAGATCTCAACTTAGCTTCCTTTTCATTGTATTGTTGGGAGCACTTGCTGTGCAACTTCTCCAGAGAGTTAAATCTGGTTTGCAGTTTTTTTAGAGAAGATCTTGCAGTAGCCTCATTGAGTATTGTCTCTTGAAGCTCCTTTAGAGATGCATGTAATTCCAGATTCTCTTGCTCTAGTTGTGAAGATCTGCATTTTGTTTCCTTGAATAAAGTTTCTTTTGTTCTTAGCATATTCCGAAGCTCTCCTATTTCTTCGTCCCTCTTGAATGTCAGATTCTCAAGCTTCGATTTTGTTTCTTGGTGCTCTAACAAGATTCCATCACATTGAGATCTCAACTCGGACACTTTCATTTCAAGAACCTTTCTTTTGGTTTCCTCATGAGCTAAAGCTTGATTACAAATCCTCAACTCAGTCTCAAGATCTTTTGAGATTCTAATTTGGGAATCTAAGCTTATTTGCAACGAAGAGATCTCTTTGAGCAGTTCTGATTTTTCCTTTCCCCATTCAGCTTTATGTGCCTGGGAATCATCATGAAGTCTTCTATGAGCATCTTCGAGGTGTGTGAACTGCTCATTCTTCCACTTCAGCTGTTCTTGTGAGATCCTATTTTCTTCCTCAAGCTTCTGGATTATCCCATTTGCGTCTTTGAGATCTCTTGATGACTGGATATTCAGCTGAGCTTCAACACACTTGTCCTTTTTGGCTGATAATGATTGCTTGAGAGAATAGATTTCCTTCTCACTGGCAGAAACCTTTTTCTCCAGATCACAAATTTTACCCGTTGCTTCATCGAAAGCCCGAAGTAATCCTTTATTTTCTCCCTCCAATTTCACAATCTTATCTGAGTAATCAACTCTCATCTTTTGATTAGCAGAGTTAAGGTTCTGGAGAAGCAGCTCCTTTTCCTGTAAGATAGACTTGGTATCGTCACACAGTTGCCTTACCTCAAAGATCTCTTTGGACTTGACACACAATTCCTTGTTTAGTCTTTCAATCTCCAACTTAGCTTCTTGAAGTTTTGCTGATAATTCAACTTGAACTTTTTTCAGAGTTCCCATCAGCTCAGTTTTGGTTAGACATTCTTCTCTGAGCTTCTCTGCCTCTACTTTGACCTCATCCAGCTCTTCATAAAGCTTCTCCATTTCCCCCTTCACTGTTCAGAGCATAAAATTTACTGGCGAATAAAGATATTGTGCAAATGTTAATGACTAATTTTAAAAGTAAAATAAACTCATATCAATTTGTCTTCCATCTTAATCATAAACGGACTGCTTAAAAGTAAAATAAAAAAGATCTATCCCTGCTTCATATTAATTTGTCTTCAATCTTAATCGTAAACTCATTTCCAGCTTCTCACGAGAGGTAAAGGGCATAGCAAATTAGCAATATTAACACAATCTGCTATTAAATTCTTAGCAGTATAAGCACATGCCCAAAGAAATTCCATTAAAAGAATTGGCTGCCGGAGAAAATAATTTCGAAACTTTTTTCAGTAATTGACTACTCAAGCAACCATTTCACAGAAATCGAAGAATCTATAACTCCTAGGGTTCCCCAAATAATTAAAAAGTTGCCTACCAATGAAAACCGAGCAATGGATTCATACGGAAACGGGAAATCCAGTACGAACCCTAAGACATATATTGCATCATTAGACGGAAAAAATATTCAGAAATTTACACAAAAATAAACATCACCATTGTACAGTGTATACTACATAGTGTAAATGAGCATAATCCTACAGAAGCGCGCAGACACATGAGAGATGAGAAGCTTACGTTGGTGGAGAGGATTGGAGAATCAGAAAATTGAATTTGAATTTGAGGAGAACCCT